GTGAGGGAGGGAGAAAGAGAGGGAGAGAAACATCAATGTGCGAGAGATCCATCGATCGGTTGCCTCTTGCATGCCCCCTACCAGGGACCTGGCCCGGAACCCAGGCGTGTCCTTCTTAATTATAAAGCAGATGTTTTTCTCTTATTTATTTAAGAATTTTTTAAATGTATTGATTTTTTTTTTTTTCCTGGAGGGAGACAGAGAGGAAGGGTGAGGAGAAACATCAATTTGTTGTCCCACTTATTTAAGCCGTCATTGGTTGATTCCAGTAGGTGCCCTACCTGGTATTGACCTTGCAACCTTGGTGTATCAGGACGATACTCCAACCAATGGAGCCACACTGTCCAGGGCTCAGGGGGGTTGCTAAATATTTTTGTCTTTTATTTTATCCTAAAAGCAACGAGAAGCCTTTGAAGTGTTCAATATAGGGAGTGACTAGCTCCGTGTTTTAGACTGCTCTGGCTGTTCCGTGCAGAATGGATGGGAAAGGGCAAGGCTGCAGGCCTAAGATCAGCTAGGATATTTGAGTCACCTAGGTGGCCAGGCCTGGGGGAGAGAGGAAAGAAACAGGTTGGGCAACTTTCTGTTGAGTGCCTGTTACCTAAGTTAAATGTGCACATATTAAAGACGATTTTTGTGAAGAGCATGTGAATGCTGAAGAAATTAGCACACTGTGTGAGTTCTTTGAATAGGAGTGAGATGGGGAGCACTGAGGGGGAAAAGGGAGGATTTTGGCGCTACCTGATGTGGGTTAGATTCACTTACCAGGTCCGTGGACTTTAATATGTCATGGGCACAGGCGACAGCTCTACCTTCTCGCTCTGCTCTGAGACACCGTCACCTGCAGCCTGGAATACTACAGTATTCTAGAATTCTGAACTGGTCTCTCTGTTACTGGCCTTGCCCCCCCTGGTCTGATCCCTCACAGAGTACCCAGAGTAATACTTAAAAAACATAGATTATTTTCCTCTTCTGCTAAAATCTCTCAATGGCTCTCCATTTTCACTGTTTATTTTTATTTTTTAAAATATTTTAAAAAAATTTTATTTATTTATTTTTAGAGAGGGAAGGGAGGGAGAAAGAGAGAGAGAGAGAAACATCAATGTGTGGTTGCTGGGGGCTGTGGCCTGCAACCCAGGTGTGTGCCCTGACTGGGAATCGAACCTGCGATGCTTTGGTTCGCAGCCTTCACTAAATCCACTGAGCTACGCCAGCCAGGGCTTCACTGTTTATTTTTTAAAGTTCAATTTATTGGAGTGATGTTGGTTAATAAGGTCACATAGGTTTCAAGTAAACATTTCTATGGTACATTGTGGGCCCGTCACTTAAAGTCGAATCATCTTCTATTGCCATATGCCTCCCTTCCCTCTGGTAAACACCATACTACTGTCTGGTGTATGGGTTTTTGTTTGTTTTTCTTGCTTGTTTGTTGCTCTCAGTTTTGTGTTCTTCACAGGAGTGAAAGCATATGGTTCTTCACTTTTGACTTCTTTCACTTGGCGTGATATTTTCAAGATTCATTCACATTGCAAATGGCAGTATTTAATCTTTCCTTTTTTGAAGTATATTTTATTATGCTATTACAATTGTCTCATTTTTTTCTCCCCTTTACCCCCTCTGCCATGCACCCCTTTCCCTGCAGCATTTCCTTCCCCCCTTAATTTATGTCCATGGGTCGTACATGTAAGTTCTTTGGCTTCTCCATTTCCTATATTATTCTTAACCTCCCCCTGTCTAGTTTATGCTTACCAATTATGCTTCTTATTCCCTGTACCTTTTCCCCCATTCTCCCCCTCCCCCCTCCCAGCTGATAACCCTCCATGTGATCTCAATTCTGTGATTCTGTTCCTGTTCTAGTTGTTTGCTTACTTTGTTTTCACTTTTTAGGTTCAGTTTTTGATAGTTGTGAGTTTGTTGTCATTTTACTGTTCATATTTTTTGTTATCTTCTTTCTATTAGTCCCCTTAACATTTATATAATAAGGGCTTGGTGATGATGAACTGCTTTAGCTTGACCTTATCTGGGAAGCACTTTATCTACCCTTCTATTCTAAATGAAAGCTTTGCTGGATAAAGTAATCTTGGATGTAGGTCCTTGCCTTTCATGACTTTAAATACTTCTTTCCAGCCCCTTCTTCCCTGCTAGGTCTCTTTTGAGAAATTAGCTGATAGTCTTATGGGAACTCCTTTGTAGGTTACTGTCCCCTTTTCTCTTGCTGCTTTTAAGATTCTTTCCCTATCTTTAATCTTGGGTAATGTAATTATGTTGTGCCTTGGTGTGTTCCTTCTTGGGTCCAACTTATTTGGGACTCTCTGAGCTTCCTGGACTTCCTGGAAGTCTATTCCTTTGCCAGATTGGGGAAGTTCTCTTTCATTATTTGTTCAAATAAGTTTTCCATTTCTTGCTCTTCCTTTCCTTCTGGTACACCTATGATTCAGATGTTGGAACACTTAAAGTGGTCCTGGAGGTTCCCAAAACTCTGCTCTTTTTTTTTTTTTAATTCTTGTTTCTTCATTCTGTTCTTTCTTTTGCTCCAAATCATTGATTTGAGTCCTGGTTTCCTTCCCTTCACTATTGGCTCCCTGTATATTTTTCTTTATTTCACTTTGCATAGCCTTCACTTTTCCCCTGTGACCATACTCAACTATTTCTCTGAGGATGTTGATTACCAGTGTTTTGAACTCTGCATCTGGTAGTTTGGCTATCTCTTTCTTCATCGCTCAGTTCTAGTTTAGGAGCTTTGATCTCTTTTTTCATTCGGGCCACATTTTTTTGCTTTGGCATGCCTGTTATGTTGTTAGTCAAGGAACCTTAGGTATTCACCAGGGTTGGGCAGCCCACATCAATGCATTGTGGTGCTGTATGTGGGACAGGGGTCAGAGAGGAAACAATGCTGCTTGCTGGGCTCTTGCCCCACTTTCAGTTACTTCCCCAGCTACCCACAAGTGAATTGGGCCCTTCTGGTGCTGATTCCCTGGGTGGGTGGGCTTGTGTATATTCTAGGACCCCATGGGCCTCTCTCAGGGAACCTCCTGTGAGACTGGGTGTTTGTCCTGCTGCCACAACCCACAGATTTTTACAGTTAGAGATTCTGAAGCTTTATTTTCCTGTGCTGGAACCCTGGGCTGTGCTGTCTCACTCCCCAGTTGTTCCTCCTGGTTTATCCACACAGAAATGTGGGACTGCCTGGTCCACCAGCCACTGCCTTGCTGTGTGTCCTCTCCATCCTGGCTGCCGGCCTCCACCCCTGCTACCAGTCTAGATGAATGTTTCTACTTTAACTCCTTGGCTGTGAGGCTTCCATACAACTTGATTTTCTTGCAGTTCTGGTTGTTTTTTGTTTTTAAATTTGTCGTTGTCCTTCTTTTGGTTGTGCAAGAAAGAAAAGCACATCTACCTATGCCCGTCTTGGCCAGAATTCTTCATCTTACGGCTGACTAGCACTCCATTGTATATACGCACCACATGGTTATACAATCATCGAGTGAAGGACACCTTAGCTGTTGCTATGTCTTGGCCACTGTGGATAATGGTGAAAGGAACATAGCAGTAATATATCTTTGCAAATAAATGTTTTTGAATTTTGGGGGGTAGATATCTGGAAGAGGGGTTGCTGGGTCATACGGTAACCCTATTTTTAATTTTAAAATTTACTTATTTATTTATTTTCAGAGAGGGAAAGAGAGGGAGAAAGAGACGAAGATAAACATCAATGCATGGTTGCCTCTCTTGCACTCACTACTGGGGACTGGGCCTGCAACACAGGCATGTGCCCTAGACTGGGAATCGAACCAATGACCCTTTGGTTCAATAGCCAGTGCTCAATCCACTGTGCCACACCAGTTGGGGCCCTAATCTTGATATTTTGAGGAACCTTTATACTGTTTTCTGTAGTGACTGTACAAGTTTACATTTCCACCAGCAGTGAATGAGGGTTTTTTTTCCCTCTCCAACCTCTCCAACACTTGTTATTACTTGTCTTTTTGGTAATAATAGGCTACGGGACCTCTACCATCTCTTTTCTCACCTCATCTCCTACTATCCCCCTTTACTATCACCCTTTCCCCCAAGTCAGAGACTACTTTATTGCTCTTAAAATACAAAAGGCAGCCCTGGAGGGGTAATTCATTTGTTTAGAGCATTGTCCTGATATGCCAAATTTGTGGGTTTTCTGTGTCTCTCCATTTCCCTCTCTCCCTCTAAAATCTATAAACAAATATTTAAAAAATATGAGAGGCAAGCTCATGCCTTAGGGCCTTTGCATTTGCCTCTTTCCTGTGCTTGAAGTGCTAGTCACCTGACTTACTCCTTTTGATTGTTCCTGCATCTGATATTTATTTACTCAAATGTCATCCACAGAGAAAGGTTGAAAGGAGGATGAGAGTGTTTTTATTTTTCTTGATTACGTAGCTCCTTTCAGGGGAACACAGGGACTTTCTCTTTTTATTTCCCTATTGTATCCCCATAGTCTGAAACAGTGCCTAGCAAATAGAAAACACTCAACAGGTATTTAATTATAATAATACATCTAACAATTACAAAGCACATACTAAATAGGTCAGGCCTACTTCTAAACATTTTTACATATTTAGCCCTGGCGATAATTTTATGAAGAACACAAAAAGACGGAACTGAAGGAATGAGAGAAACTGAGGCTCCGAGAAATTAAGCAACTTGCCCAAGGTTATACAGCTCCTTACTTGGAGCGGCGATTTGTAAAATGAAATGAATGAAGTTGGGTTTGGCAGTCACTGCCGGGACGGAGAAGGAGCGATCCGTTCACCGGAGTGTGGACAACACTAAGCGCGCCGTGCTCACCCTACAGCCAAGGTGTAAAGGAGGACATAAGAGAGCCTTGGGAACTGTGGGGCATGGCTCCACGGAGCCAACTTACTGCCAATACCAGTAGACACTTGGTACCCGGGCACTGGAAGCAGGAAGTGGCGGTGGGCGTCGCTCGGGGTGACGTCATGGTAGCGCCGGGGGCGAAGGGCGGGGGAAGAAGGAGGAGCGAACTGGGCTTAGGGGGCGGCTGCACAGTCTCCTAGATCCCCAGGCCTGGAGGGGGGTCTGCGCATAGCCGGCTGGCTCTTTTCCTGCCCAGTCCGGTCATAGCGGGCCTCCCTCGGGCCATCCCGATGGTGACCGGGCCCAGCGGAGCCTGAGCAAGGAACGGGTCCGTTGCGGAGCCGGAGGGCGGGAGGAACATGACATCGCGGAGGTGAGGAGCCCAAAGGGGCCCGGTGCGGGCCTCTGCCAGGGCCCCGCTGCGTTCGGTCAGCCCTCCCCGGGAGGGGGCGCCCCGGCTGGGCTTCGGTCGCCCGTCGGGGTGTCGGGCGGGCAGGCTTCCTCCCCACCTCCTCGCTCTCCTGGGGCCGGGGCTCGGGCCCCACCGCGCCCCCACCCCTCGGGTCCCCATTCATTTCCTGCCTCCCCGAGTTCCGGCTCCCGCAGCTCTGGGGATGCCAGTCTGGCTGGGGGCAGGTAGAGCCCCTGCGGGAACCGTGGACGCCAGGGGCCCGACTCGGCGCCGCATTCCTGACCCATTGCCTCATGAGAATTGCCTCATGGTGATTCCGAAATAACCCCGTCCCTCGGGGAGGCTCCTGGGCCCAGGACGCTAGAAGGGAGAACAGGGAGTTGCGCGGGCTGGCCCCCAATGGTAGAGCTGCTCGAGGTCCCTGCCTCTCGCGCGCGTTTGGGGGCTTCACTCAGGATCCCTGACCCCTTTCTTTGCGTCTTTGCTTCACCCCCTTCCTCCCCTCACGTGCCAGAAATGGAAAAACTGACTGTATCTGCAGCTATTAGAAGTATTTCCTTCCTCTGAGATCTTCGCTTTTGAGACAGGAGAGGGAAGGGAGCTGAATCTGTAGTTACGTAGTCCTTCACCACAACCTTAAAAGTCGAGTAACATTAATCACCCCTTGTTTTACGGGTGTGGAAACTGAGGCTTAGAAGTAACATGCTAATAAATGATAGGATCTGAACCTGAGAGTCAGAAGCAGGATTAATGAATTAATGAGATCCTTCGAAAGTTCAGGGTACTACTAATATGTAATATTAAGCTGTTGCTGTCAGCCAAACACATTTAATCTTCAGTATATCCCCACGAACTAGGTGCTATTATCCCGTTTTTAAAGACGAGCATGCTGAGTTTCGGAAGTTAGTGGTGGAGCCAGAAACCCCGTTGTTAATCACCATGTTGCTCTTACTGTTTTTATAACTATTGCTAATCACTCAAAAACATTTTTTTTTAGATTGTATTTATTTATTTATTTTACTTTTTAGAGAGGGGAAGAGGAGAAGGAGAGGGAGAGAAACATCGATGTGTGAGAGATACATCCATTGGTTGCTCTCGCGCGCCCCCAACCGGGGACCTCGCCTGCAACCCAGGCATGTGCCCTGACTAGGAATCAAACAAGTGGTGATCTTTCTGTTCGCAGGCCGGCATTCAGTGTGGTGAGCCACACCAGCCAGGGATATTGCTAATCATTTTTAAGCCTTAATTGTGTTGTTAAACATTAGTGTGACCTATTGTTTTCAGATGGTGATCCTGCTGTTTCTATCGCCACTCTGTATACTGTTCACATGTACGACTCATTGTTCAGTCTTGATTGTTCTGGTATGGTCAATGTCTTCCACCTTTGAAAAACTGTTTCAAGCTATTGGGGTTATTTGAATGTGAGACTTTTCCAAATATTAGAAATGTCTGCTCAGAATACACCTGCACATTATTCGTCAGTGGACCTGGAACTAAAACTGGAAGCTTAGAAAGTGGCTTGGTCAGGTCTGTTGACTTACAGGTCTGGGTGGTGTCTAACCGCATTACAACAGAACAGGGTATAGCCTCAGATACTGTAATTCTTTAGGGAGCTTTTAAGTAAAATAGTTGTCTGTTCTTTAATCTGTCAAATAGTCACTGAACCTTTTGTTCCTTATGTCTGCTCTTCCAGACAAGTAAGGATCTGCTTCTTTGGGAGACAGAAGACTAGGGACTGGGGGTGGGGTTAGGGGCAGGGTAGTAATAGACACGACATTGTCCAGCTTGTTAGTCCAGAAGCAGGAGAGCCTGGGTTCAGCCAAAGCAGCAAGTGATAAAGATGATGGCGTGAAATGGAGTGACTCCTTCTCTTTTCCAGTCCTCCCTGACTCACCTGTTATAAAAAAGACATGTCTGCCGCCTAAAAAGGCGGGTTATGAACATAACACATGCAATTGGGAACTATTGTTTTTCAGATTATAGGTCTGCTTTATTATTTGTAACCCGCTTTATTGAAGTGTAAACGACAGATGCAATAAATTTCATCTGTGGAAGTATATAATTTGGTTTAAGTTTTGACATATGTATATACTCGTGAAACCGTCACCACAGTCAAGATAATCAACGTGCCCATCGCTGCCTGAGAAGGTTCCTCGTGCCCCTTACACTCCCTCCCTTGTCAGGCAGCCACTGTTCTGCTTCATGTCCCTGGACCTTAGTTCGAATTTCCTGGAGTGTCAAATTAATGGAGTTTTATATCGGGCTTCTTCTATTTTTAAGATTTTATTTATTTATTTTCAGAGAGGGGAAGGGAGAGAGAAAGAGGGGGAGAGAAACATCAAAGTGTGGTTGCCTCTCATGGGCCCAACAAAATTATGTTGCGATTTATCCATGTTGTGGTATGTATCAAATATTTTATTACTTAGTTCTATTACTTAATAATATTCCACTGTAGGGATGTCCTACCCATTGTTTACCTGTGTACCTGTTGGTGGACATTTGGGTGGTTTCCTGCATTTGGCTGTCACACATAAAGCTACTCGGATTGTTCACGCACAGGAGTTTGTATGGACAAGTGCTTTCTTTTCTCTTCAGTCAACACCCATCAGTGGTGTGGCTGGAGCATGTAGTAGCTGTCCAATTAACTTTTCCAGAAATGGCCAAATTGTTTTTTCCAAGTGGTCATACCATGTACATTCCCACCAGCAGTATGAGATGAGTTACAGTTCTTCCACATACTCGTCAGCCCTTGTTGGTATGATCAGTTTCTACATTTTAGCTATTTTAGTGGATGTGTTATGGTATTTCATTGTAGTTTTTTTTTAATATTTTACTCATTTATTTTTAGAGAGAGCCAAAGGGAGGGAAAAAGAGAGGGAGAGACGCATTGATGCAAGAGAGAAACATTACTTGGCTGCCTCTTGCAAGCGCCCTGACCCCGGACCCAGTCTGCAGCTCAGGCATGCGCCCTGACCGGGAATCAAACTGGTGACCTTTTGCTTTGTGGAACGATGCCCAACCAACTTTTAGTTTTAATTTGTATTTTCCTTGGTGGTTAATCATGTGGATCATCTTTTCATGTGCTTATTTACTGTCCATATATCTTCTTTGGTGACATGTTTAATTGGTGAAATATTTTCCCTCTCTTTTATTAAGTTTGTTTTCTTAGTATTGAGATTTGAGACTTCTTTATTCTGGATACAAGTCCTTTATCTATCAGAATTACAAATATTTTCTCTTAGTCTGTGGCTTTTAATTTTTTTAAAGTGTCTTTTGAAGAACAGAGGCTTTTAATTTGGATGAAATCCTTTGTATCATGGTTTTTGTTTTTTTTTTTTTGATGGATAATGCTTTTGCTGGCATTTCTAAGAAATCTTTGCTTAACCCAAGGTCTCAAATGTTTTCTACAAGTGTTATAGTTTTAGGTTTCCGATCCACTTTGAGTTAATTTTTAAAAAATATTATTTATTTATTTTTAGAGAGGGGAGGGGAGAGAGAAAGAGAGGGAGAGAAACATCAATGTGTGGTTGCCTCTCGTGTGCCTCCCACTGGGGACCTGGCCCACAATGCAGGCATGTGCCCTGACTGGGAATCTAACCTGTGACCCTGTGGTTCGCAGGCCGGCATTCAGTCCACTGAGCCACACCGGCCAGGGCTTAATTATTGCAGCTTTATAACAAGTCTTGATATCAGATAGTCAGCCTTCCAACTTCATTCCTGTTTTTAACCTTAGTATTAATTCATTCAAGTAGTTACTCAACCAGGCAAGCTAAAGAAGATGGGCAAAGATCGCTTTCCTTACACCTGAGAGAGAGAGAGAGAGTAGACAAACACATAAATAAATAATACAGTTCCAGGAAGTAAATAGTAACTGCTGGGAGGGTGGAGATATACCAGAAATGGGGAGAATGGGGTTTGCTTTGGTTAAGGGGTTTCAGCAAAATCTCTCGCTGAAGAGATGATCAGATGAGCTGGCTCCTGAACGACAGGTATTGTTCTGGATTTTGTTTTGCTTAATTACTAAAATAATTATCTCTGACCCCGGTGTTTGGGGTTTAGATTTCGTATGCAGTCGGTAATTAAAATGCCAGTTTACCCAGTGCGCTGATAACCCCCAACATCACAGGCACGGAGAGGAAGGCAGTGAGAAATCAAAGGACGCTTCCCCAGAAGCTCTAGTGATGGCGGTACTGACTTGAGATTTTGAGATTGCTTTCCAGCCCCGCTCTGCCTCGTCCAGCTGACCTGACCGGCTGAGTGCAGCACGGGGCACGCCCTCTGCATCTGCCTTGGTCCCTCTGGAAGATGACGCAGGACGGCTTGAGCTGAGGGGGGGCACGGAATTCAGCTTGCCCTCAGACTCTTGGCTTTTGGTTTATCCGCCGCAGGTCAAGTACACTTTGTCCCAGGCTCTCCCCGGCGGCCACGTTTGTCCATCTCCCGTGGGAGTAAATAAACTGGCCTGGCTGAAAAATATGACAGTTCTATGTCTTCCCAGTGGAAGCTGGGAAGTCTGTATTAACGTCACGTCCCGATGTAAGCTCAGGTGTTTGGCCAGAGCTGCTCGGGGCAGGGGCCATGGTAAGGTTACTTACCCTTCCTGCACGTGGTCAGTGTGGAGACTGTCAGTGAGCTGGGCAAGATCCTGGGAAAGCAGAGCCAACTCCTGTTTGTACTGACTTTCCAGAACAATGGAGGACACTGTGTTTACTCCTCTTTCCCTTTGGGACGCACAGACAGCCCTCGCCATTCAGTGCTGACCTTTTATATTGATTGATTGATTGATGGATGGATGGATTAAGTTTAGAGAGAGCAAAAAAGAAGGGCGGGGGGAGAGAGACGTTGAATTGTTCTGCTTATTTATGCATTCATTGGTTGATTCTCATATATGCCCTGACTGGGGATTGAACCTGCAACCTTGGCATATCGGGATGGCATTCTAACCACCAGGGCAATGCTGG